GGGGGGGCGGGGAGGCGGGGCGGAAATCGAGGTGGGTGTGGCTATAAACCTGCAGCTAAAGGGATCCTTGAGGTGATGGGCTGTCCTGTATCTTGACTGTGGTCATGATTACACAAATCTACACGTGGGGGAAAATTGCAGACTCAATTGCAAACGAGTGCATGTAAAAGTGGTGAAATAGGAGTAAGAGGGTAGATTGTATTGATGTCAATTTCCTGGTGTTACACTGTAACTTGAGTTCTAGGAGATGTTACCACTGGGGGGAACTGGATGAAGGGCACCTAAGATCTCTGTTATTTCTTCCAACTGCGTGTGAACCTATGGTACCTCAAATTTAGAAGTTTAATAAAAATCTCCCCCTGCAAAAGGAAAATAAAAGCAGACCTCTCTCAGAAGACACTGGACAGGGTGGGCAACAATTGGGCGACTTTAAAGTTATACATATGATAATTATTAGCATGAGAGATGGGAGGGGACAACACATGGACAGAAATGGCTTCAAAGTTGCTACATTTTGCTGAAAGTGGTTACAATACTCCCACCAAGTAGACTGTGAAAAATTTAAAGATGAATAGTCTTATCCCCAGAGTTACCACTAAAAAAATAATGCTAAAACAACAATAACTGAATCAAAATGCAATTCTAAAAGATATTCAAAAGAGGGCATGGAAGGAGAAACACAGGGGGGGCAAAACAAAATTAGTGCAACAGTAACCCTAAACCCAGCCCTATCAATAATTACATTATATGCATGTGAACTAAACCCAGTGCCCGGTGCAAGATGATGCACCCCTAAATCTCTGGGACTTTGGTTGGTGCTGGTGGAAAAACTTTCCTACTGGGTTTGCTGAGTGGGGATGTAAACCAGCCTTTGCCACCAGCGTGGAGTGGAGAGACCCTTGCCACCCAGGAAGGCAGGGCTCTGAGGCCCGCCAGTGCAGCCAGCCTCCAGGACCTGGCACTTACCTGAGCTGATAGATCAACCTGTTGTTTAAACCTCTTGAGTTGAGTTTGCTCAACCCAGAAGTTTTGCCTCGTCCAGGAAGTCTGCCCAGCAGCCCCTTCCCAGCCTCACCCCACAGGGCTCTCTGGTCTCCTGACCATTCCCTCCATCCTTCCTTCAGGGGAGACAAAGATTCTCTACCTAACCAAACTCCACCGGGGCTCCTCTGAGCTCTTTTTCACTTCGGTCTCAAATTCTAGGCTTCCATGTTCATCTCAGCACTGCCCAACTGTAGCAAGAATCTGCTAATATGTCAGTTTAGCCAGAAACCGCCCTCCATCGTACTGATCACCCTTGATATCTGATTGGGTTCCTGGTCCTCCACCATCCACCCCCTGCCCCCTGTAACGTCTCATCACCCTGGCCTACCTTCAGCAACAATCAGGTGCAGTCGGTTTAGCTAGAATATCCCCCCTTCACCCGTGATGTTTCCTCCTAGTAACTTTCCATCCACTGACTGCCACCCCCTGCTCCTTGGCTATAAATTCCCACTTTTTCTTCTTTTGTTATTAGGAGTCGGTTACAATCTCTATCCCCACTGCAAGACTCCATAATGCTCCCCCTTGAAAAATATATTCCTTGCGTCATGAATAATTTCTTCTTTAACAGGGGTCCCAGGCCCAGTGGGTCTCAGGGACAGGTCTGTCCTGGGGTCCAGTCCTTGGGAGGGCTCGCTAAGTTCACCCTACACATACAGGCTGCTCTTCTATGTGTGCTGGGTGGATGGGGGTCAAGGGAGAACAGATCCCCCACCTCATCCCCTGAAACCCTACAGCAGGCTGACCCCTCCATCAGTCACTCCCACTCCCTGCCAGGTTCCAGGGCCAGTGGAGGGAGGCTGGGGGCGGGCCCAGCTCTCACCTGTCCTCTGCTTCCCCGTCCAAGTCCGCCACCTCATGGCCGGCTGCCACGTGCCCGGCGTCCAGGGGACCCAGGTCATAGTCGTAGCTGTACAAAGCAGAGGCTGGTGTCGGCTGCTCTGGAAGGAAGGAGGACTGAGTCGTTAGGGAAGGCACTGGAGGGACAGGGTCTGGATGACCAGCAGCCCAGGGGGCCTGAGGGAAGGAGATCTGTGGCCCAGAGCAACGGACAGGAGGTGAGGTCACAAGGTGGGGAAGCGGACCCAGAAATCAGAGATGAGGAGACGCAGGAAAGCACAGAGGTGCGGTGGGGCTGGGGAGAGACTGACCAAGACTGAGGAGATGCAAAGGGACCCAGATGCATAGAGAAGATGGAGCGATACATTCTGGGACAAGGTGGGGTCCCCGAGGCGGGGCGTGGGTGGATCC